ATGTTATTTGAAATATATAAATATAAAGATTGCATTTCAGAATCATATTGCTCAATACTTACTAATTTCTTCTTTAGAGAAAAAAAGTCATGCAAACATTGTGATTGTTGCTACTGCTGTTAGGAGCTTTTCAGTTGGTTGCAACTCATGAACACAAATTGGTTCTAAGCAAATCAGAAGGAAACACGGCCACCTTGCCTCGTCCAGGGCAATATAACAAATAACATTTGTATTGTCTTTGAACCCACTGTTGTGGCCACTCTGTCAACCCACCTCCTTGTGAGTCTCCCTCTTTTTCACTGACCTTCTAATTCCCATGCAGATTTCCTTTTCCAGGGACAGTTCTCTCCCAATCACATGCCCAAGGTGCATAAGGTAGTCTGGTCTGTCTTGAATTCTGGCTGTATTTTTTCCAGGATAAGTTTATTCTTCTGGTAATCCATGGGACTTCCACTATTGTTCTCCAACACATGAATTTAAATGCACCGATTCTTCTGCAGGCCTCCTTATTCATTAGGCATCTTTCACATGCTTATGAGCCAATTGAAAATGCCATGCCTTAGGTCACAATACCTGATTCCTCACAGTGACATCTTGCTCTTTCACACTTTAAAGAGGTCTTAAGCAGCAGATTTGTTTAATGCAGTGCCCCCCTCTTCTTTTTGACTGATGCTTCTATGAGTGTTGGCTGTGAGTTCAAGCTAGAGGAGATCAGTGATAACTTCAATCTTTTCTCCGTTTAACACAAGGTTAACAGTTGTGAGGATTTTTGACTTCTTTACTTTGAGTTGTAATCCACACTGAAGGCTGAAATCCTTGATCTTCACCTAGGGCTTCAAGGCCTCATCTCTTTCAGCAAGGAAGGTTCTGTCACCTGCTTCTCACAAGTTCATAGCCTTTTGCAATCCTGATGTCGGGTTCTTCTTCACATAGTGCAGACTTTCATATTATTTGTTCAGAATGCTGGTTCACATCATGGAATATCACCCCTGTTGCACCCATTCCTGGTTATAAAGCAGGCATTATTCCCTTGTGCTCTTGGAACCATGGCCTTTGGGGGCGGGCGGTGGGGTGGTGGTTGTACCGGTTCCACAGGAGCACAAAGACGTGTTCTGGAATTTTGATCTTTCCCAAATGCTATCCATTGTTTGTTATGAAGCACACAGTCGAATGCCTTTGCATAGTCCAGAAAACACAGATAAACATCTTTCTAATATTCTCTGCTTTCATCCAAGATCCATCTTGCATTAACAACAAAGTGCCCTTTGTCTTAATCTCACCTGAATCCATCTTAAATCTCTGGCAACTCTTTGTGTATGTACTGCTGCAATCACTTTTGAATAATTTTCTGCAAAATTTTAATTGTATGTGACATTAATGGTATTCATGGACAAATCCTGCTTTCTGTTAGGTGATCTTTCTCTGGAATAGGCACAAATATGGGTCTATTCCAGTCAGTTGGCCTTGCACATTTCTTGGCATTAACTGGTGAATGCTTCCATCAACAAGTTGAAGCATTTCAGTTGGTATTCTGTCAATTCCTGGGGCCTGATTTTT